AACAAACTCGAGCCGAGAAGCTTGGTTGTTCGATCCACAGCGTCGCACGGCGTGAGCACCAAGCTTACCATCCGATGCTGTGCAGATTATGATTAGACAGATGAAAATACTATTGTTATATAACCACAGGTCACTGCAATAGCAACAGCCCCGAATCACAGGACGAGGCTGACACTGCAGCTGATTTTCTGGCATTTCGAAACCCTTGTTTGCTACAATCTGAGTTGGACACTGAGATGAACTGCAAATTTGTCTCTGTCGGTGTCTGGTCTTTTGCCGTGGACATGCTCGCTGCTGGAGTAGTCTGAGCTTGAACCAACATGTCGGTTTCCCACATCGCAAAAGGCAGCAGGCGCCAGACGCCATGCCGAAGAGAAGTTGGGTCTCATTCACTAGCAGCTCATGAGCATTTGCCTTCGGCCCAGCCCTGGACCAGGGAGTACGCCGCCGAGCTGTCAATGAAAGTTCTTCTTCGCCTCGAACCTCGCTTGCGTCACTTTGCACTTGTCAACACTCACGCGGACAGGTTCGGGCAAGGCTTGAAGCGCCAACGGCCAACGCTGTTTGGGCTGTAGTACTGTCGGGTTTGCAGGGCATACATCGCCTTTTGCCCAAAGAGGACGTTTTAATCAAAAACTCTTGCACCACACGAGCTGGCTGTGCGAAGCGTTCTTATGCTGACATGCAACTCTTCTACGTTTCGGGGCATGCAGATACAACTTCTGATGCAAACCTGCCAGGCTATAGTGTTGTTCTGCTCAGCTGGTGCCTTCCAGGGACAAGCGAGCCGAAGCCGCTCGAAGTGCGACGTGGTGTTGGATGACTTTATCATTATAGTTGTACTTCCCTTCATACCACTGCATGATTGTTAGGCTTCTTCCGTGTTACACGTTCGTGCTGCCAAGTCGTTGGAATCATTCACTGTTAGGACAGTATACGAGTACATTACCACACAGTGCTTTGCTTGGCTTGTCTTCTAACGTACCTCAATGCATCCAGCGGTTCAGATGTTGCCACATTTACCGAAGAACAGTTTGCTCAAAAGGTCTACTCTTCGATTCTTGCATTATCTCGGCGGTAATGCTGCCATACAATGCTACCAATTCTTTTGCAGAGCTGCTAGGTTGTGACACCATGTACGGATAGACGCGACCTTGCGTACTTCTCTCTTTCGGTACTTCCTGTATGAACGTGTGCCAGCATGTCTTACGACTACCCGGCCTCATGGTTACATGGCTGAGCGTTTCATCTGCTAAGTTGCCTTTTCAATGCCTTTTTTGTCAACTCTTACGGCTTCTATAGTATTGCTTCATGTTCACGATTACCAGACCCAGACCAGCACCTGAACTGTTGTAGAAATAAACTCTTGAAACGAAAATTGTCGGTGATACTCTCAGTCATATTCAGTATCGTGCTGGAAACATCGCCCCTACATGGGGGGCATTGAATACCGTCTGAGCATGTCTGAGCGATGTCGCATTGCACTGTGCAGCTGACTTACCAGCACGTCCATTTTCGCCAATGTGAAATGCAAGTGAAATGGACTTGCTTTCATGCTCTAATCTGAATGCTTCATGGCTGACGCTACCAGAACTTCACGTCCAGCCCCTGCACCGTGAACCGCGGGAGGTAGCAGTCTGATTCCAAGGCACACCGGAAGCTCCAACACTTAATATACTCCCGAGCCACAATCTGTCGGCAAAGGCCACTCTGAAGATGTCTACCAACGTGCTGGCGGGGTAGAGCTTCTTCATGGCCTCATTTCAAGATATACCGATATGGATAGTTCTCTAAATTAAGCTTCCTGTGTAGGTCCCCAATATAGTACGGCACCCTTATAAAAAGGACCCTAATTTAGAGAACTACCCCAAAGGGATTGGATTGAAGGTTGATGACTGTATAAGTTCCGTGCCTGGGGCCTAGGGACTTGTTGCTCGGGTCAAGGCTTTATGAGCTTCGCATTGCCGTGGGCCTGATGCGACGCCAAAGTCAAGCCGATATGCTTGCTACTCTTTGCAGATCCCTCAAAAGTACCTTAAGGAGATCTGTAAGGTTGAGGGTTTAGGGGTTTCAAAGTTTGGGGTCTGTGGCATGCAGTGGAAAGTTCTACGCCTGAAAGGGTCCGAGAGCATCGACGGAGATCGAGTCGTGGATGAACTCCAGGAAGCCATTTGTCGAGCTGGTCACCAATACCTGAGCTCTCCAAAAATAGGGGACCCTAATACGGTACCCTGAATAATAGGATCCTTATTATAAGGACCCCCAAATAAGGTACCCTAATGTTCGGAAACTCCCACCTGAGCTCTCCGTCTTAGGATTCAGAAGGCCGCGCAGCTTGGTCTTTACAGCTTAACTGGCTTAGTCCTCAACCCTCTTTACGCTGTCACAACTCAATCTAGCCAGGGGAGGTCTCTCGGTTCGCACGCTGGATACCGGTGACAAAATACTTGGCTGCAGACATGGCCACACAAATCCAAGACAACCCCAAAGCATACAGAAACACACAAGTCCAAGACAATGCCTGCATTTTAGGATGGATTAATTTAAAGGCTTGGGGGCTACTCGGAGTTCAACAGGTGAGTCATCTGTCGGAAATCAAACAACATGTCGCATGCTGAGATTGAAGATCTGGACTTTGGATATACGGTTGTGCTGTTAGTATACTGCCACGATGCACTGACCAGCAGAAGCCGCCGCATGCTACGCCGCATTGTTTTGTTAACACTCGCGTGAATGGTGGTTTGACACGCTGTGCACTTTGTGCGCACTCCCTTCTGGGAGCTGGTGTCGTGCACCGGCGACCTTGGAAAAGTCGCTCGGGAGCGCCGCAGCTCCAGCAGCTCCGTGTCAGTGCAGAGAACTAATCCACAAACAATTCTAACGTATGCGCCCACCGGCTGGAAGCCAGGAACCTACTGCCCCTATTACTCGGGAATTCCACTCTCCAGCTTGCCGGCCGGTGCACGCACAATCCTGCCAAATGTCGCAGAGACGCTACGACGGGCCCTATCTGGGGACCTTGGTAGCCAAAAAAACTACCAAGGCCAGCGGATTGTCGGCAACCCTTGGACAAACTACAACTTACAGGCTGCTGCCTGCCGCGACCGTGCCTGAGAACGACATTTGGGCTTACTGCCTAACTCCCACACTCTCTTCTGCAGCTTACATCGTCGCTCCACTACATGGAGCTATTCTGCATGAGTCTGTCACAGCCAGTTGCAACTCCAACAACACTGCAGTGGTGTTACACTGCAGTGATGTACCTTTACATTGCGACTTGTTGGGGATTTGGTAATAGCATTGTTCTCGTGCGGGTCTCTTAAGGCTCATTCATTGTCTGTTCTATGGCTGCATCCACCCCAAGCTTGTCTTTGTCTGCTGGTTCTGCGCATATGCCGATTGAAAGTCAGGCGTTTGCGTGCATTACATTCCGGTTTGGTTGTACGTTTCGGTGGGTCATGTTTTGGTGGTTAATCGCGGCTCGAATGCGGTGGTATCAACATCCGCCCAGGCCCTGCTAAGGAATTCGAAGATATCTAGGAACTAATACATCCTCCGAGCTCCTGTCGGTCTGGGTGCAGCTCTGGGCATTTGCCACTATGAGTCTACCGTGGACTGGAATTTATCATAAGACGTCAGTCGTTCAACAACGCAAGAGAAACTCTATGAGAATCGAGAAGCAGCCACCGCACACCACAGGAATTGAAAACTTCTCCTCTCTGCAAACGCATGACGTAGATTCTGCAAGGCTTCCTTGCTGGCTTCGCCTTAGGCTTCCTTGTCCTGACCGGCAGGCTTCACGTCCAGGTTCAAGAGATCCGGCTTGGGTCCCTCCTCTTCCTCCTCCTCCTCCTCCTGTCCCGGGAGACCGTCCAGCTCCTTGAGCTCCTCGTCAGTGAACATGTACCTCATTCCCTTGCGGACGATGGCCAAGGAGGCCATGAAAAAAGGGAACACGACCGAGGTCTCCTTGATGGCCTTGAGGCCATACAAGATGGCGAGGCAAACCACTTGGACGAGGGTGTACAAGTGCACACGCATGATGGGAAGCTTCTGCACGTAGTGGTACTGTGGGTATTTGGTCGGGTCCCAAATAAGCCAGAGTTTGAGCCGGTCAAAGAGGTTGTTGCCGGTCAAGCTGGCGATTCCCATGTAGAAGAAAACACCCTGCAGCACCGACCGCGGCAGGAGCTTCAGCGCCGGGGCAAGGAAGAGTGCGAGGCCAATGAGCACATGTATCAAAAAGTTCGTCGCGCGTTGCTCCACCACCTTCACCGGCACTTTACGCTCACCGCCCCCCGGCATCTCCTGAACATCGTAGGTGGTCAAAGAGATCACGTGAGTAATGCTCGGCACGGTGGAGGCCACAGAAAGGGGGAGGCCGAGCACGGCGCAAGCTGGCAGCGTAAGTGCTCCGCGGACAAAGAGGTCAAGATGATATCCAGGACCCTTTTTGAGATTGTTGGAGGGCCTATTCACAATCACAGAGGTCAAGTTCTGGTCCAGGTACCCCAACACTGCAAAGCCAATTGCCTGGGTTATGTTAAGATCATTTGAAATCCCCCTGCCCTAGCTATGCAGTCGCTAGCCTATCCTTCTGACCTACCCACGATATTAGACCGACATCAGAGCAGTGCAAAGGAAGCACTGGAAGAATGGCATAAGGAATGGCCCAGGCAGGGAAGGGCCTCTCGATGCCCGCGGGGTTCACGATCCAGGGGCGCTTGCTGCCATCGGAGAGGGCCAGGTTTGGCGAGAAGTCTGCGTCCACTTGCAACATCCTCAGGTTTGTCTCGTTGGAGTAGATCGCAGCAACCGCTGATGCGACAACGAGGGCGATGGTCACCGCGAAGTTGGCCAGGAGGTTGCGGATAGACCGGAGCGCCCAAGGCTTGCGCCGGAAGTGGGACAAATAGGTCGCCAATCCAAAGGTAAGGAGGAAGAGAAGCATCTCGAACATGGCATTGGTCAGGGGCATTACACCATCTGCAAAATTCTCAATGAGGGGCCTCGCTCCATCGATGATGAAGATGAGTGATATCAATCCAGCGAAGATGTCTTCACTGAACCTTACTCGTCCAGATTCTTGGGAAAGAAGGTTGGATTGTACATTGCTCGTGATGCCCTAGAATCCCCAGCAAGACTCTGGCGCGGCGTCTTACAGATTCCACAAGTTTCACGGGTTTGCGAGTTTTCAGGCTCAGGGAGTTTGCGGGAAGCAAACATGTTTCAAGGCAGGTTCGGGGATTTGGTGGATGCACACACCTCATAACGAGTGCCAAAAACCCCAAACATCCCCCCCAAACCCTTTCTTTTGCATCCAGTCCCCGAAACCCAAATCCTTCAGCCTGAATCCTAAACCCTTTCAGCCTGACGTCTCAACCCGCAAATTGAAGCCCACAAGGTTGCTTCGCAGGAACATCGTCACGTGCTTCATGAGAGCGCAGAGATCGAAAACTGCGACGAGGATGGTGAAGAGCGAGCACCACATGCACGTCCAGAAGTAGAAGGGCATGAACCTCGGCTCCCCACGGGGCTTACGCTTTAGGACTTCGGGTTGAGAAGTGGGCCCCATCTCTTCCTATTATGACAGGGAGCCGAGCCCCCCTATCATGGCCTTCTGATGAGGGGAGGTCTTTACTGAGGCTGCCCCACATTGAAGCTTAATACTCAGGGACCTAGGAACTCAATGTCGACAGCTTCCGCCAGGTCGTAGACGACGAGGGTGTAGGCCAGGAAGGGGCCGGTTGCTCCGAGGATGGACAAAGGCTGCCCTGCACTCCACACTTTGGGGAAGAGCAGCGGGGTAATGGGCCCCAGAAGGTTCAGACTAGTTCTGCTCACCCTCACAACTTGCTAAGACAATCTTGGCCTGCGAATGTAGAGAAAAGTACGCCGCTGATGCAGGTGGACATGATCATCCTCGGATTAGACCGCACATGTAGAAAGGATGCCAAATTCAGGGTCGGGCACTTGTAAGCGCTTCAAAGGACGATGGGTAACAGAGCTTTTTGAAGCTACTTCTGCAGCCAAGCATCTCCAGCACTCCAAACTGACCATTGGTGCCGTCCAAGAAGCGGCTGCCGAAGGTGATCGCCGGTGCCAATGCCGCTATGAACAAATACCTGTCTTTCCGAACGCCCAAGGAAACAACAGTCCAAGGTTTCAGAATCATACTATACTGCAAGAACTGAAAACTGTAAGAGCTGGAAAAACTAAGGCACATGATGGAGGACACAGATTTTTCGATGTTCTCAGCCTTAAACGCATCCGTCCAGTCGCTGGCATACAGCGGCAGACGCCTCTTCAGGTCCATCCTCATTCCGCCTGCAATCTTCCCTGTGAACTCGAGCGGGCCAAAGTCTTTCTTCGAGGTGTGGGTGATGTACCCGGACTGGTCGCGCATCACGGCCTCGGCCTCCGTCATGGCTTCGGGAGCAGGGGACACAAAGCAAGGAGAAGTGAAGCTGAGCCTGTTCTGCCGAAAATGCTTGAGCCGCCGCGGGGAGGGTGTGTGTGTGTGTCGTGGGTTGTGGCGCGGGCCAACTCACCCAGCGTAAAGGCCTTAGGCGCAAGTTTAATTCGTCATGCCAAGGCATCCTTTTGCACACAAATCCTGATCTCTAAACCTTTGCGCATTGGTAGGACTTGTGCAATCGCTTGGCTAAACCCTAAACTCTAAACCTACGGACCGAAACTCGAGCACCCCAATCTGAATCTGCATGTACCTAGTAGCTCTTGCATCCCAAGCTCCCCAATAAGCAGCTCTTGGACGACGATGCTCAGCAAAGCGCAGAGAATCGGTGACCCAACGCCAAGCATCCTGGGATCCCACGAAGCCGAAATCGCAGCATGAAAGATGAGACTTTGGGGTTCGATCTCCCCTATCAAGCCATCAGGAAAGCCGGAAAGCCGTGGATTCCACCGGCAACGCAGAGCCAGAAAGGACAAAATTGGGCCCTTCCATGATTGAGAAGCATTGCCAGAATCCTCCAAATGGAACAGCCATAAATAATGCAAAACCGCGCGACGCCTGAACATCCCAGGTCCCATGGCGCCAGCCTCTGAAGCCATGCAGAAGAAAGCCTGCCGGAGCTTACATCCGCTCACGAACAACAAACCCCGCTGATACGAACAAATGAGCAGAGACCGCCAGCTCCCGGCGCTAAAACCCCTGACAACACACTTCTGCACAGGTCTTGACGGCAAGACTTGCCGCGGCCGTCGCATTTTTCTCAGCAAGCAGTTTTGGCACGCAGTCCACGGTCCATCAAACACATATCGCGCGTCGAACGACAAAAAACCATGGCGGGAGTGGACCCGGGAATGCACCCCTGTCACACCTTCCCTAAATCCTAGCGGATTGTCTTCAAAAATCCATACGACGTGCTCTCAAAGGCTGCGGTTGAGTGTTCGGACTAAGTTGCCGGCTTGAGGTAAAGAAGGGGAGGAACGAAGCTGGCAGTTCGGACCGACCCTATCCCTTCTTTTTGACCGTTGGCGAAAAAACAGTTGTTTCGTCCAGGCCGGGTCCGGTGTTCGGACCGGCAGTCCGGAAACAGCGCCTTACCGGACTCGGCCTACCTGGACCGGTGCGGCCGGAAGTCCAAAATGTACCAAGCTGGCTCAACCGGACCACGGAACCAGGCCCAAACACCAACTTTGGCCAAGCAGATAGATAAGGAGAGAGGTCGGCGGAGCCAGAGGCAATGCGGACCGCAGAAGAGGACAGATTGTCCAACCACGGTAGCGTGCTCCTCCAAGGAAAATCCAAAAAAAAATTTTTGCTGGAGCGGTTGTTGACTAAACTCTCTCTGGGGAGGGTGTTCCAGCGCTCCACTCTATGGTAGCTACAGGCCTAAGTTCGAGACATAGGTCAGAATTCGGTACTTCGAAGCACTGCCGATTCGCGGGCCGGCCCGCAGCCCGAGCGATCTTAGGGGCTCTAAAGTGCTTGCAAAACGGGATTTGGAAGGGCTTTAGGGGGCGCGGTACTTGCGAGCGGCTCACGAGCTACTGGCGAGCAGCTCACGAGCTACTTCCCAGCGGCTCACGAGCTACTTGCGAGCAGCCCACAAGCATACCGAACGAGCTTCCGAGCAGCTTACCAAGCCGCCTTCCGAGCAACTTACGAGCCGAGCAGCTTACTAAGCCGCCTTCCGAGCAGCTTTCCGAACGAGCTTCCGAGCAGCTTACCAAGCCGCCTTCCGAGCAGCTTACCGAACGAGTGACCATCCGTTTTTTTTGGCGTGGTCAGGCCTCGTCGACGGCGGCTGCCGCACTCGGTCCTAAGGAAATCGACAATAAGCAACAAAGAACAAGAAATCTACTAAAAGCGGTGAAACAAGCTGCGACTTACAGACTTAGCCGGAAAAAGTCGTTCAGCATTGAATTACCGGTCTCATATTAACATC